TCCCTCTCTCCTTCTCTCTCTTCCTCTCTCTCTCTCTCTCTCTCTCTCTCTCTCTCTCTCTCTCTCTCTCTCTCTCTCTCTCGTGTAGAAATTTTTTCTCAATGTTGTGACTCACGACCTCACGTGCTTTGTAAATATTTAGATGAAACCCGTCATTGCAACAGCCGCCAATGACAGAGAGACCGGCGTCATGGAAACAACAGCCATTCTAAGTGGTCGTTCCCCTTCATGCGAGGACAACGGAACGACAGTTCATCAGCACACCGGCGGCGGGGGCACCACTGCAGCATGTGATGACGTGTTGGCCACTATTCAAATGGAAACTGAGTAGATGCTGGCTAATGTGGATGACAACGAAAGCGGTGCACGAGGGAACAGTGGTCACACAGAGAAGGTGGGTGGAGAGAGAGAGGACGAAGATGTTGGCAGCGAGGGTCCTCACAGTGGATGCATTGTCAAAGATGCAAATGTGACAAAAACAATGACAGGAGATAGATACCCGTACGATGTGAACTTGGTGCCTGGTCGTGTTCAGCCTGGTATCGTTGGAGGTGTGGATTGCTTTGCTTTCAAGGTTGGTGATGAGTGGGTTGCTTTTCCTCCCCCAATGAATGAAACATGGCGTAACGTATGTCTGTCATTTATCTATGACAGAGTGTTGAGGTTAAATGACGGGGCAAGGACCCAAGATGCTTGCCGACACGCATTGGACATGTATCGTGTTCTAGAGGCAAAGGGTGAGTTGCGCCTTAATGATTTCCTATATGACAACGTTGATTGCGGTCGGCTGTGGGAGTTGGGTGGCCAACAAGGCAGGAGGAGAACGCCAGTCGCCCAGGATGATGCAAGGAGGGATCCTCGATGGGGTTGGGTGCCATCTTCAGTCCCATTTGGATTTGGCCGTGTCAAGATGCAAGTGCGTGATATCATGGGCAATGTGTGGAGCACGCATTACGTGAATGGCATGTTTCCGTTCCGTCATTTCGACAGAGAAGCAGCTGTAGAGGAAAAGGAAGCGATGAGATGCAGGTCACGCGATGCACGCATTTCTGACCCGCCACTCAGCAATCCTGTCGAGTTGGCCTTCGCTGAAGGGAAGGTGTTTACTGGTGAAAAGCGCATCACATACGTCCACGTTATGGGGAAAGAAGCCACATTTGATGGCATCTGTATGGACGTATGAGACCATACAGCAATGCGAAAGGATGTCGTCGCAGCCAGTAACATTGCGGCGCATGTGATTCAAGAAGGGCAGTTGTACCTGCATATGGCCCGTGACATGTACGGGTACCATGTCAACTGGGTACCTGGTTCTTTGCATCCAGCAGTTGTTGATGGCAAAGTGACACTGGCAGCAAGGATGCAATCCGGTGAGTGGCTGCCTTTGGGTTGGATGCATGCTGGCGTTGTGGAGCATTGGCAGTTCTTGGTGGTGGTGACACGTATTTCCGTTTGCAATCCTCATGTGAGGGACCGGCGATTGCTGGAGGAACACGCTCAACGTTGTTGGGAGAAGATAAGGGAGGAAGATCGGCAGATGGTGTGTATGGGATATGACGACCACAATGACCGGGCGATGTGGTTCATTGTGGAAGACGTGTGCACCGACCAACCACGACCCTCGACGAATAACTTGTTGCTGGAGGGCATTCGACGCAGATACGGGTGCACATCACCTCTTGGGTGGGTCCCTGTCGTCTGTCTCATGACATATGAGCATGGGGAACTGATGTGCATGAGATTGAGAGACCCCCTGGGTATCCCTTTCTAGCTCACGTTCATGGATGAACTGCTGCGACACATTCAGTACGCGGGTGATGACGACGGTCGTGCTGCAATCAACCCTCAACAAACAGCACAGCAGCAGCAGGACATTTCACATTTCTCCTCTGAGGTCGATGCCCCGGAAACGGCACATGATTGGGGATGTTCTCACGCACAGCCCGACAACGGTGACACCCCTGTGGAGCACGTGACAGGGAGGGCAGAGAAGAAGAAGAAGCAGTGCACGTTCATGCCGCCTCGTCATCCCAGGAGTCCCACAAAAGCAAAAGGGAAAGAAAAAGTTGTCCCACGTAGAGGCGAGACTCCCAAAGCAGCCGCTGCCCCAACTCCTAAGCGCAGACGCCGCCCAGGGATGGCAGCATTGGCAGAGATTCGGCAACTCCAACGATCTACTAACTTGTGCATCGCTTTGAGGCCGTTTATGAGGGTAGTGGGCGAGATCGTCGAAACAGATATCGCACCAGGGCAGTCTATGAGGTTTTAGATGAGCGCCATACGTGCGTAGATGGAAGCGGCGGAAGCATATCTCATCAACCATTTCGAGAGAATGAACATCATTGTTATCCACTGCAAGAGGGTGACGATCCAGATGAAGGACCTGAGGCTGGTTGATAACTTGTCCAAGGCTCGCTGGGAATACAGATACCAAGGCATTACCGACGAGCAGAAGAGAGCAGAAAAGCTACGACAGATGAATGCTGCAAGGCAAGAGGAGAGAGATGCGCGGGCGGGGAAGGGGCTGTCAGGGAAGACAGCAGCAGCACGCAAAGGCGATGACACTCCAGCGGCGTCATCGAAGAGGAAAGGAGCCCCGCGTAAAGGCAATGCAGCAAAGAAAAGCACGAGATAAGAACACAGTGAAGACTGTAGTGAGACCGCGCCACGTGACTTGCATTGACTTGCTGTTATCTGCGGCCTGCGGCGGGACACAGGGGTTGTACTATAGTAGTGCAGATTTGTTGTTTTGTTTGTGTGTGGGCTTGACCGTTGACTAAGTTTGTTGGGACTGACCGCACGCCCCATATGCAATTCTGAATATTGCTGGGCCAGTACCGCTCTTGTGCATACGACCTCACTGTCGAATTGACAGCCCCGGGCTATTCGGAAAGCCAGCGGTGTCAACCGCTATTCTGTGGGATGAGCCCGTAGCCGGGTAAGGTCCAGGCCAAAACTGGGCAAGTTGAGTCGGTGCCGTTGGTATAGGTGGTAGCGCAGACTAGGGCAGGCGTATGTAAAGTGTAGATGCATGCTGGGGGATCTTTCTGCCCAATTCATACTTCGTGGTGTGAGTTCCTGTGCACGACGTTTGCTGCACGAGTCTGGGCCCGGCACACAACCGCTATTGTGTTGTGTGCTGCATGAGCTGCGTACTGGCGATCCTGCAAGAGCTGTTATATGCTGCATGAGCTGCTGTGAGCCGTGTGCTGTGTGGTATTTAAGCTGCTGTGTGCTTTGCGGTGTGTGTTGTGTACTGCACGAGCTGCTGCGTGGTGTGTGCTGTGTGTTGTGTGTTCTGTGTTGTGTGTTGTGTGCTGTGAGTTGTGTGGTGTGTGCTGTGTGTGCTGTGTGTCACCTGTTGTGTGCAGTGTGATGCATGAGCTGAGTAGTGGCAGTCCTCCTGTGTGCTGCATGAGTCTAGGGCTAGCAGCGGTCTGGCCTATCACAGGACTGATAGTGGAGACCGTGCGGTAAGCCTCAGACCTTCGTCAAGTTTAGGGTGGAGTTGGCGAGGTGCAGCCATAACTACTTGTTCTCAGAGAGTTCATCGTGTGAGCTTCATCGACGTTAGAGACTATTGGTGCTGTGCTTCTTCTGCGTCCTCAGTGTTTGACTGTTTCGTGGTCCCGCTGGTCTGTCTCTCTCTTGTTTTTGTAGCACTGGTGTCTGATTTATTTATCAGGTGCTGGTTGATATTGTATGCTCTGTTCACCGCTTGTGTGTATGCTGTTGAGGTGGCGCTGATGTGGAGTCGCCACTTCGGTGAGTTCGACGGGAGTTTGTGCTGCGCTGCTAAGCGCTTGAGGTCAGGGGACTTGAACACTCTTTGTTATCATGATTTGGAAATATATGGCAGGCCACAACTGTGTTCTCTTCTTCTTTATCCTTGCGTATGATGTGAAGACTTGTGCTCATTCAGGGGGTTGATGATGCGTGTTGTGAACACACTTGCGTCTAATGATGTGAATACTTCTGCAATTGTGAGGTACACAGCAGAGACAATATATGGAGAGGACTTGTTCACAGACATCTTCTCGTTTTGTGCACTGTGATGGTGGTGATGTCATTGTGTACAATGCGATACTGCGACATGTGTGACAATGCATGGTGACATACACTGACATACACATAAACAGATTATGTGTGAGTGAGGGTTGGCAAATTGCAACTGACAATTATTTGCATAACATATCAATGACCGAGAGTATGTGTCTGTCGTTTAGTATGCAGGCGTGTGTATGACACATTGTTCACTAATCCTGTGTCTGTTTATGCTGTCATATGCACTGCACGGTTGAACTACCGAAGCAGAATTATCAAACCAAAATCTGCATCTTCTGAAGCATTCAATCTACAGTGTACGCCGTTGCATTCGTCGACAAAGGTATGGTTGCCTGTGTACCTTGAAACTCAAGCCTGCTCTCCCTCTGTTTGTTTTCTTCTCCCTACAACATGTGCACTCTCTTAGTCCTATATCCCATGTCATGCTCTCCCTCTGTTTACTTTTCGTTTTATGACTACAGCATGTACACTCTTGACGTCTGCGGTGGTGAAGTGAAGTGACTATCATACTTCCCGTCTTTGTGACATTCCGTGACTTAATGTGACACACGGGCATGTCGAGGCACACGAACATACACAAACACACTTCCTGACTGTGTCTGTATTTGTGTCTGTGTGCGTCTGTGTGTATCTTTCCTGCATGTCTGACTGTGTCTGTGTGTCCGTGTCCCCCTGTCTGTGTCTGTTCCTGTCTGCGTATGTCTGTGTATATCAGTGTACGTCTGTATGTCCGTGTATGTGCATGTCCGTATGTCCGTGTCTGTGTATGTCTGTGTGTCCGTTTAACACAGGCGGACACACGGACATACACAGACACGGACATACAGACATACACATACACGGATATACACAGACATGCACTCCCAGGACACAGACCTACGCAGACAGGAACAGACACATACACGGAGACACTGACACACAGAGACAGACAGACACAGACATAGACACACACAGACACAGAGAGGGACACATACAAAGACACGGACACACAAACAGACACACACACACACACACACACACGGACATGTCCAAGTTGACTACTGCGTGCCGGATTCGTTTCGATGTCATTGAATCGAAGAAATTATGGCACCTAGTAGTCAACCCTCGTATGCGGACAGAGACGCACACGGATACACCGACAGACGCGGACACACAGATATACGGACACACAGACAGACACAGACACAGACAGACACAAACACAGACAGACACAGACACAGACATACAGAGACACAGACAGACACAGAGACAAAAACAGAGACAGACACGGACACAGACATACAGAGACAGATGGTGACACAGACACAAACACAAACGGATACACAGACATAGACGGATACACACACAGACATACACAGACATACACAGACATACACAGACACGGACACGGACATACGGAGACACCTACAGACACCTACAGACACATTCACAGACACAGACGGATACACAGACATAGACAGATATACACAGACATCGACGGATATACACAGACATACACGGACATACACAAACATACACACACATACACAGACATATGCAGACATACACAGACATACACAGACATACACACAGAGACATACACACGCAGACATACGCAGACATACACAGACACACACAGACATACACACACATACACACACAGACATACACAGACATACACACACAGACACACACAGACACAGACATACACAGACATACACAGACATACACANAGACATACACACACATACACACACAGACATACACAGACATACACACACAGACACACACAGACACAGACATACACAGACATACACAGACATACACAGACACACAGACATAAACAGACATACACAGACATACACAAACATACACAGACATACACATACATACACAGACATACACACACAGACATACACAGACATACACACACAAATGGTACACAGACATACACAAACAGACACAGACAGACACGGGCACAGACATACGGAGACACGGACACAGACAGACACAGACACAGACACAGACACGGACACAGACATACAGAGACATAACCAGACAAAGAGACAGACACAGACACAGACAGACACGGACACAGACATACGGAGACACAGACAGACATAGAGACACAGACACAGACATACGGAGACACAGACTGACACAGAGACAAACACAGACAGACATGGACACAGACATACGTAGACACCTTCAGACACAGACACAGACACAGACGGATACCAAGACATAGACGGATATACACAGACATAGACGGATATACACAGACATACACGGACATACACAAACATACACACACATACACAGACATGCACACACAGACATACACAGACATACACAGACATACACGCACATACACAGACATACACAGACATACACGGACATACACAGACACACACACACACAGATACAGACACAGATACAGACACACACACACGAAAGATAGAGAGACAGACATAGATATAGACACACACACATACACACACACAGACACTGACACACACACACACACACAGGCACATACAGACACACAGACACACACACACACAGACACACACACATACACATACACACACACACACACACACACACACACACACACACACTTGGCGGAGGACTATTCCGTCTTAGGTAAGTTGTACTCTGCCCTCCATGGCTTTATAAATGAATGGTTTGTGGCCCTGTGATACGTACAATGCTTCACACGTATGAAAAGGGGGGCCCGGGGTGCTTGGGGGGAACTTGTCAGTGGGCCGTGGAACACCCCCTACGGTTGCCAAACCAATGGGGAGCGGTTTGGGTGGAGAGTGAGAGCAGGGAGAGAGGAGTTGACTACTGCGTGCCGGATTAGTTTTAATGTCATTGATTTCAAGAAAAAATGGCACCCAGTAGTCAACCCTGCTATGATGTCCGTGTACTGACTGGCAGCGTCTCATGACCGCATACTTCCTGCAGAGAGACACACAAACAACATTAAACAAACCCTCACGGAGATTGAAATCATCGTTTTGTCGTTTCACTTACAGATACATACACAAAAGCACAACCATCATGTCGATGTCACCGGCGCAGGCGAGGACAACTCTTAAAGAGGTAATGCAATACGCTGAGGAAGGCATCCACTACGATGACGACGGGGAGCTTGAACTACTAACGGAGAGAGTGCCCAGCTACTTCGAAGTCAGAGTGAACATTCGTGCAAGCATCGCTGCGAATGGAGAGGAGTCGCTCAGAGCACGGATGCTATTGGCACGGTTCACAGAGGCGCGTGATTTGCGTGTAGACGACAGTGCTGATACCG